CTTTTGTCCGAGAAAGGGGTGGGTATACCCACTTTTGTCCATTTCCCTTTTTCTTAAATCTCGGGAGGTGCCAGACACCTGCACACCCTCATCGATGAAAAACAGCTTCCCGACATCGTGCGAGGAGTCTTACGCGTCGATGGGCGAGTTCCGGCAACACTTGATTCCGTGAAAACAAGAAACACAAAAAGCCGCAGCAGGACAGTAAACCTCACTCACCCCTCTCCCTCCCGTTCTCTTTTGCAACTCCAACCCATGCAACAACAAGATATAGTAGCCTATTTGCGAAGAGCGACGAGAAGAAGGAACAACATCAAGAAAACTACCATACCAAGGAAAGGGGAGACTTTTACACATATATCTCACAACGCAAAATCGATCACCACTCCCTCCCAACCCCCCTTATCTCTGTGCCCAGCAACAGAGTTGCTTTTCTTTCATGTTCACGCAACAACCCGCCATCGAGCCATGTAGAATCTACATTCGCACACCGGTTCAGCCGCTCGGGACAGAGGTACGATTCGCGTCGTAGTATGTACTTTGCCTGTGTGACCCGCCAACGGCTCTCCCCTCTAGTCCTCCGTAGCGGCCAAACAATGGACACGAGCCGAAGACCGTGCACAATTATAACCTCTACATACAGGAGAAGAACTAGAGGGGCCCTCGAGGTCTGGGGCGAGTAGAGTGGCGGGCCCCCGTCATGCAAAAGAAATACGTACAAAACAAGCGTTTGCACACGACGCGGGTTCCTCGTTGTGTTCGGACAGAGAGGAGGACCGTACGATATGCCGCGCATGTCGAATACAGAAGAGGCCGATCCGTTGTTTTCGTCGTACAAGAAGACGGAAAAACACAATAAAAACGATACCAACCAACCGACAACAGCACAACACTTGTCGCGACGAACACAACAAGAACCCCTCAAATCAAGGCTCTGGCCGTGACCGATTCGCCGAACAGCCCGCTAACTGATGTCACACCAAAAAATCACACGGGGGTAGAATACCGACGCGACTAATTTTTCGTATGATTTGCGTGTGCCAAAACACTGAAAAGCTACAACCACCCACTCCGGTTATGTTATGATTCTACCAAAAAAACACAACCACCAGCAGCAGCCCAGTCAAGCACGCAGAAACGGACGGGCAGGTAAGAGAGAGATTATGGCGCGTACACGATGTACGGGCCCATCCCTAAAACACCACCCCGTCCACCGCTGCGGCCTTGCGGGGGGAACAGCCTGGTACCGAGCCGACAGGACCACGAGGGAAGAAGAGTACGCGACACCCCCCTCTTACACACAACCTCCAAACGGGCGCGCATCTACCCTTGTCCGACAATCAGCATCTTCAACAAACAACAGGTCAGCCAAAAAAAGTCCCTGCTGCTGGTACACGACACAAACCAGCAAATGGATGTGCTCCAACGGACACGTTCTCCCAACGGATCTTCCGCAGCGGATCAACGGAAGAGGGGTGCTGAACAACGCACGTTGGTGTTGTCCCCGCCAGAGAAACCAGCACTGGCCAGCCCCCACTGGAAAGCCGCGACCACGAGAAAACAGAGGAAAAAAAAAACAAAAACAGAGAACCAAGCTATCCTCCAACACACTAATAAACGACATTATTCTCTAGGCGAAAAAGGAGAAATACAACAAAGCGAAAACTACCCACATCCACAAATAAAGTTGGCGTGAAAAAAAAAGAACAACAGGACGAGGCCAACATTTTGTTCTCTATCTGCAGCGAAAGATAACAACATACCCACATCAACAAATACAGGGCGTGCGTGTGGACCCCGCCCGGTACAATTTTGAAGCCGTGTATACACACGTGCTTCCTTCCGCGCCTGTCGGGCTGCATGCCACGGTTGAAGAGAAAAGTCAGAATCACGGGTCACGACGGTGGGTAAGGCTAGGCTAGCTTGGCTAGCCTGGGCACCACGAGGAACGAACGAACACCAAGCACGTGCTATCTCCTTCATCTAATTGCTTCCTTCCATACTCCTGCGCATGCATGTACCTCACGCTTATGCTGCTCGGCATTAAGCAGATCTGCCGCGCGTACGCCCTCCTCCCGCTTGGCGCTGCGCCGAGAAACTTTCCTCACACAACCACACCATCCCCAACAATAACCGTTACAACCTCACACACGTGTGCAAGCACGGGACCCCCGGACCCTGACTCCTACCCACCCGGGGCTGCACCCCCCACAATTCCTGTGACGATCCACGGGGAGCGAGCGGCCATCATCAGTCCAAGCACGGCATCACAGAAAAGGCGAGCATTGCGGTGCTCCAAAACATCTGGATATCGAAACGTCTTCCCGGCACGGGGGGAAGACAAACGTCTTGTGCCGATGGCCTTGGAATCCCGGTCCGCACTTCATCTCGCTTCTACGCCTGGTTTTACCGTTCCAAACCCGCCCACAAAAGAAGACATCCCGCCACTGCCGTTGCTGCTGTTTTGGGTATACTTTTTACATTTTGGCTCGGGTAGGCCTCGAACGTTCCCCCGGTACGAACACACAAAATACGGCAGGCAAAAAGGCAGACCCTATGTTCCTTTGCCACCATGCATCACCAACTATCCCGATCGCACACAAGATAACTCCTAAAACGACTACACGAACCTCTCCGACGCTTCCATCCAAATGACAACGATAATAACTACACAACGGAGGCTATATAGCTAAATAACACCAAGTCGCCCCCCGGACTGCCGGGGAGGGCAAGACGGCGAAGGTGCATCGGAGAGGGGGACCAATGGTACGAAAAAACCAATATATGGTTCCCTCGCTTGCGTGCGAAAAGGTGGGGGGAGGGGGGGGCGTTCATGAGAATCTACGGCCCAACAGCAAGCGTAGGCCAATGGGAACTGTCCCTCCTGCACCTTTACGGCTCGAGCACCCATGACATACAAAAGCCGAAAAAAAAAGAAGGCAGAGACATGCTCACCGAAGCCAGCCACCATACACATGCGTACAACTCGTCATCCAGAGGTCATGTCAAGTACGCGCCGCCACACCAATGCGGCACGACCACGTGTGCTCCAACAAACACCGCCGTGCAGAGATAACTTCACCGACACAACCAATCACTGCCAAAATGCCACGTACAACATGACAGCGGAAATCATATTTCCCGTCCACCTACCCCGCAGGCGCAAAAAACGAACCGAACCGTGTGTTGAAACAAAGGAGCACAATCCGAGACAACACTAATCGTGATGAGTTATACCGTCAAGAAGACTAACGGGAAAAAACCCTACCCCGCCCCTGCCCCCCCAAATACAACACCGCACACCTTTTGCGTACACGATCACGACGACGACGACGCCAGTTCATGGGCGAAGAAAAAGGGCACGAAGACACCTTTCGAGGTAACAGCAAGCTACGCTCCGCCGGATCGGGGCGGCAAGCCTGCACACGAGTCTTCTATTATTCTCTCCCTCACTCCGTCCGCCCTCGCTCTCTCTCGATCAAAATCTTCTCCGCCGTGGTACATGCATCCATGCCATTTTCATTATCAAACGAGGGAGGACACCAGTGAAGCACGAGGAAAAGCAAAACACCACCAAACAAGATTCCATCGTGCTCCCGCCACCAGACCCTTCACCTCTCTTGTGCTCATCCGAACATGTTTTTCTCCGTATCCCCTGGGCAGAAGGTGATGGTGTCTGGTCGTTGTAAACGTCCATGACAGGTACGGCAGGCGGGTCGAGACCACAAGAAGCGGAGGGAGGGAGGGAGGGAGGGGACACAGGGCGACGACATCGGTGAACAGGGCGGGGACTGGGGTGAGCGTCGTTCAGGAAAATAAGTGTACTGTACGATCAAATAGAGTACTTACCCAACTACAAAAATAATTTGGGAGGACCTCGTAAGCATAGGACCAGCCCAACAATGGAGGCCCACAGATGCATCTAGCCTACTACAGGTTTGACACGCAACAACAACGTGCTGGTATTCCTCATGAACCCTTCACGGTAAAGATTTTACAAACACCCCCATCCCACTATTGGACTCACAGCTCTGCGTGTTGGGGTTGCCGGGCCCGTCGCCGTCGAAGCAGGTGAAGGTCGACGTCTGGTCGTCGTACGGGAACGTGTAGGCGGTGGGGCACGCCCTCTTCTGGTGCGCGTGCCAGGGCATGGACAGCTCCACCCACTCCGGGTTGATACCGGTGCAGTCCGAGATCGGGGGCGCCATCAGGTTGTACGGCGGATCCTCCCACTCGGGGCACCCGCAGGCCGTCGTGTCCGCGCCGGGGGTGTACCCCGAGTGCGCGAGGGTAGTGCCGTAGCACCCGTACATGTGCGAGCGCATGCCGCCGCTGACCTCGCTACCGCAGAAGAAGGGGTGGGCGTCCGGGAACGTTCCGTCCTCCCAGCCGCCCGCGCAGGCACCGCCGGCGGTCACCCACGCGATGTGCTCCCCGCAGGAGCCCTGCTCGACGCCCCCTTTGTAGGAGCCGTCCGCCCAGCGCTGGGGGTGCACGCCGCAGATGCCGGTGGTGCACTCCCAGTCGCTCGTGCACAGGGTGGTCTGCACAACACGGGCGTTGGGCATCGTAAAAATTAAAAAACCATGCGTGCACGTTGTTGTGCGACGAGGGAGGACGATGAAGGCAAGGCAGGCGACGAGGCTGAGGACATAAACGGGCGACCGAGTGAAGCGGTGATTTGCTTGATGGGGGGCATCGTGAAACGGCGCTTTCTGTTCCCCGTCAGATATGCGACGCACAGGAGTGTTGTAGCGGCACGATAGGCATGAAACGCACGCTGTACTGCTGCGTAGGGGACAAGAAAAAAGCGCCCAGGGCACGTGCGAACAAACCAACACGTAGACGGGGCTGTCCCTTCTGCCATGCCTGCTCCGTCTACGTTCTTTCTTACTACGTACTCACGTTTTCGTAGTCTTCGGGCAGCACGAGGCGCAGGAACTGGCTCAAGTCCTCCGATCCATGCAAATCGGGAACCGTGGTTTCGTACGACCAAGTACAGCCGTCAATTTTGCTGTGGTGCGACACCGGTGCCCCCGGCGACCCACACTGGTACTGGTTGTGCGGGAGGGGAAACGAGAGATCGCGAGAGGGTGAATGAAATGAGTTAGGTCTTCGACAGCAGAGAACAAAATGAAGGCATACGCATGCGTACGACACAGGCATTAGTTACCATATTGGTTCAGTGTGCGAAGGAGGCAGAGAGGAAGGGGGCGGGGGTGTCGTGTACGAATGTAACAAGCCCATCGCTTGTCGGAGGCGCCGGCGTCGGCTAAAACATAATGCCGCACCATGTACCCGACAGACGAGTAACGACCAATCACTACACACAATACATATGCACATCATACCACACAGCCAACAACAGACGAGATAACCATCTGCCTAGCGCGTGCAGTTCGGGCGAGTGGGGCGTACTCATAGTCGTGCATGCCGTAGTCGTTAGACCATTGACCTCGCATCCCTA